CTCGATTGGTTTGAGGCCCTGGGGATACACGTCACAGGACTCAATAGCTTACAAACACTCGACCTACAGGAAGTCTGCAAAGAATTTGCAGATGTTTTCAGCCCCCAGCTGGGCACATTCAAAGGACCACCTGTGTCCTTAAAGCTAGACCCCACTGTCACTCCCATTAGGATTAAAGCAAGAAGGGTCCCTTTTGCTTTAAAAAGTAAGATTGACACTGAACTAGACAAACTAATCCAACAGGGAATCCTAGAACCTGTTGATTCCAGCCCGTGGGAGACCCCCATTGTCACGCCTCTAAAGGCAAATGGGGACATTCGCATTTGTGCTGATTACAAATGCACACTCAATAAGGCATTGCAGCAACATGCCTATCCTGTTCCTGTGGTCAGTCACATCCTGGCCTCTCTCAAGGGGGGGCGTGTTTTTGCAAAGCTTGACCTAGCTCAAGCATATCAACAGCTGCCTGTTGATGATGATGCTGCCATAGCTCAGACCATTGTGACCCACAGGGGAGCCTTTAAAGTAAAAAGGCTACAGTTTGGAGTAAATGTCGCTCCTGGGATTTTCCAAAGCGTAATGGAAAACACACTACGAGGTATACCAGGGGTCTGCCCCTACTTTGACGATGTCTTGATTGCAGGAGACTCCACACACATTCTAGCTGAAAGGCTTAGGGCTGTCCTGTTAAGATTCAGGAAATCAGGCCTCAAGCTCAGAAAAGACAAATGCCAGATTGGGGTGCCTTCTACTGAATTTCTGGGATTCAAAATTGATGCTGCTGGGATTCATCCTGCTGAATCCAAACTAACTGCTATTTTAGATGCACCCAGGCCAAAGTCTAAGGCCGAACTTCAGGCCTTCCTAGGCCTCCTGAATTTCTACAATTCTTTTCTTCCACATAAAGCTAGTGTAGCTGAGCCTCTTCACAGGCTACTAGACAAACATGCTGTGTGGCTGTGGTCACAAGCGCATGAGGCTTGCTTTAAAGAAGTCAAGGCCTTGCTCACTTCTAACAGTGTTCTTGCACATTTCAACGAGTCTCTCCCTGTGTGCATCGCTTGTGATGCGTCCCCCTACGGGGTTGGAGCTGTCCTGAGTCACCTCAGGTCTGATGGAACTCAGGTTCCTATTGCATACTACTCCAGAACACTGTCTTCTGCCGAGCGCAACTACGCTCAGATAGACAGGGAGGCTCTGGCTGTTGTTGCTGGAATTAAAAAATTCCACGATTTTCTATATGGCAGGCATTTCACGGTCTTCACTGACCATAAGCCTCTGCTGGGACTGTTTACCACACGTAAGCAGACTCCCCACATCATTTCCCCTAGAATGCTTAGGTGGTCTATTTTCTTGTCTGCATATGATTTTTCATTACTCCACAAGCCTGGGAAAGAAATGGGCCATGCTGATGGCCTCAGTAGGTTGCCTCTGCCAGTAGTAGAAGCTGACCCTGCGCCAGCTGTCAACATTCTATCAATCCAAGCCTTGCCCGAGCTCCCTCTTAGTGCCAGGGATGTTACCGCTGAAACAGGTACAGATCACACACTTTCACGTGTCCGCTCCTGGGTCCTGTCCGGGTTGGCCTGAGCACTGCCCTAGTCCTGAGTTTCAGAGTTTCTGGTCCAAAAGAAACGACTGTCCCTTTCTCAGGGTTGTCTGCTTTGGGGAAACAGAGTTGTCATTCCCACCTCAATGAGGACTAGGGTCTTAGAATCCCTCCACGAGGGTCATCCTGGCATTGTTCGTATGAAGGCTCTTGCACGCAGCCACTTGTGGTGGCCTGCTTTAGATAAAGATATTGAGGCTAAGGTACACGCATGCCACCTGTGCCAACGATCTCGCCCAGAGATGCCCCAAGCTCCTGTGCATAGATGGGAGGAAACACAGTCCACATGGTCTAGGGTGCACATTGACTACGCTGGGCCCTTTCAGGGCCAGTTCTTCTTGGTCCTTGTTGACAGCCATTCAAAATGGCTTGAGGTTGTGCCTGTCTCATCCACCACCACTGCAAAGACTATTCAGGTACTGAGGGGGATTTTTGCTGCACACGGGCTGCCAGATGTCATTGTGTCCGACAACGGCCCTCAATTCACCTCCTCCAAATTCCAAGCTTTCTTACAGGCAAACCTGATTCGTCATGCCACGTCTGCGCCTTTTCACCCGTCCACCAACGGTATGGCTGAACGCATGGTGCGCATCGCAAAGGACGCCTTGAAGAGACTCACCTACGGGGACTGGCATCACAGGTTGGCTGACTTTCTCCTTTCTTATCGCACCACACCGTCCACTTCTACAGGGAGAAGTCCAGCTGAACTTCGTTGGGGGCGCCAACTTACTACTAGACTTGACCGGTTGCATCCGGACAGACTGCCTTCATCTACCTCACATCCTAGGGCACCTAGACAACTACTTGTGGGTGCCCCGGTTTGGGCTCGCAATTACGGGCCTGGTCATACATGGGTCCCCGATTCTGTGTCCAGGATCACAGGTCCTCTCTCCTACGAGGTTGCCCTGGACAACGGTCGTGTCCTGCGTCGGCACATCGACCAACTTCGCTCTAGGCGAGACTTTTCTGCTGAGACTCCTGGGTCTTTTCCAGGGGGGGAGGGGGACCCTTTGGAGCAAAGGGAAGGGCAAGAGCTACTGCCCATCTCCACTGAGGGAGCCACAAACGGCCCATTCCAGGGTTCTGCAATTGCTCCGAAAAGGAAGTCATGGAGCTTACCCACACAACAGGCACTCACGCCTACTCCAGCCAGGGAGTCACCCCGGGGGCATACTCACTTTCCACACACATCACACAGCACTCCAGCAACGGAGGATACCCGGGGGCATCCCAACAAATCATTCCCCGCAAGAGAGCTGGCACACAATTCCCAAGGTTGGCCTGACCTTACCCCAAATCCTACAGGGGGTCAAACATACACAGAGCTAGTCGAGGAACCAAGTCCCGACTACAACACCCCTAGCACAAATCAGGGAACACCTGAGTTTTGGGAAAGTACAGAAACCCACACGAGCCCGAGCACAGAATGGGGTTCAGGGAATGGACAGCCTCCTGACAGGTCTTGGACTGACCTAGGAGGTTCTACAGAGACGCCCAGCAGTGGCTATCACTTCAAGGGGCCTGAGGGTCTACAGCTAGGTAGGACAACCAGGTCACAAAGCAACAGAAGCCCTGGCCTGACGAGCCCGGTGGGCAAGCAAGCAGGCCAGGCATCGGGGCACAGTCCTTGGAAGACACCAGGGCACAATAGAGAGAACAGGCTCACGCCTCCCTCCAGTCAGGGGACTTATGCCAGTAACCCAGAGCTAAGAAGGTCACAGAGAGCAAAGAAATCTCCTAAGTATCTAGAAGATTACATAACATTGCTGGCAAGGCAAAAGCCAGTAATCAGTGGGAGCACTGGGGAGCAAAATGTCATATAAAATAAATGTTGTATGTTGGTAGTAGTTTTAGCCCGGGGGAAAGGGGTGTTATGTCCCGAGCCTTTGCAAACGGCTCGGGCGTTTGCAGGCAGTCCCGGGCAGGTGCAAAGCTGCCCGGGACCAGACAGGCTGTCGCCAGCGCCGTGCGCATGCGCGGGTGCTGGCGCGGGAAAAGTAACCCATTTACCCGGGAGTTGCCTATATAAGAGGCTGCGAGGCGTTTGGGCGAGGCTGAAGCCATCTTCCTGTAAGCTGAACGCTGAATAAATGAAACTGAGAACTCCAGCTGCTTCTCGTGTCTGTTTTCCCGCCACGGACTCAACAATATATAAAACCAGATTCTTTACCTCATTAGTGAACAAGCTGGCCTATTACATTTTAATACTCCTTTATGTAACTGGATACTTGATTTCCTTATTGATAGGCCCCAGGTTGTGCGAGTTGGAAAGAAAGTTTCCAATCCCATCCCCTTGAGTACGGGTTCCCCACAAGGCTATGTCCTGCATCCCCTACGGGATTTCCCTTGATGACCCATGACTGCTGTGCCAAAACTGCTACGAATCATATTGTGAAGTATGCAGACGACAGGCAGTGTGTCTTTTCCGGGATGACAATGAAGATGCTTGTAGGGAAGAAGTGAAGGCTCTGGTGGACTGGTGCAATAAAAGTAACCCAGTTCTAAATGTTGATGAAACAAAGGAGATCATTGTAGAATTTAGAAAGAGCCAGCATAGTCATACTCCACTCAGTATCAAGGATACAGCTGTAGCTGGTCAACAGTATTAAGTATCTGGGGGTGCAGATAACTAACAATCTGAATTGGTCTCTCCACACATCATCCTTAGTGAAGCATGCAAACCAGCGTCTGTATTTCCTGCATAAAGATAAAGTGATATAAAATAATATATTTTGTAAAAACAATTTCTTTTTCCAAATATTAGATTTCTCTAAACACTAGAACCAAACCAGCATCTGTATTTCCTGCATCGGATGAGGCGAGCACATCTCTCTCCTTCTGTCCTGGCCACTTTTTACAGAGGCATGATTGAAAGCATTTTAACAAACTGCATCACTGTCTGGTTTGGTGGCAGCAGTGCCTCAGATAGAAAATCCATACAGACAATGGTAAGGACAGCCGAGAAGATCGTAGGAAACTGGTATTCAGGATGCTGCTTATAAGCACTCAAAGCATTATGAGAGGAGGTTTCAAAGTATTTCTAGCAGGACTACCCGATTCTGTAATAGTTTTATTCCCTATGCATCCGTCTGGTAAACTCTCAAGATTTGTTTTTCTCGCCATGCACATTTATACATAACCTGAACTAGACTGTGTTGTTTCTCTGTGTCATATATGTGGGTATATGCATAATTCTGTATTTATTTATTTTTGTCTTATTTATGTAGTGTATATTGGAGGTGATGACCCTTTGAGAGCTGGATGCAACAAAATTTCATTTTAATGTATGCCAATTAGTGTACATTCAAAATGACAGTAAAGTTATTATTCTATTCTATTATTCTATTTGTATAATATGGAACTTATATTTAGAAATCAAAGAGACTAGTTGTGAGCCTGTGGTATTTCTTTTGGGATCTCTAGAATCAGGGAGGATTATTTATGAGATAATCCTTGGATAACACTCAGGTGTACAAACTCTTGTAAGAAGGACCCCACCTTGGCATTAAAGTTTCCTGCTAGAATTACAGTAGCTTTAGGGTGATTTGAATTTAGCTTTAGCTTTTGCAGGTTCACCCAACTATTAAGGGAATAGTGGGACAGTGTGTATGGTGGTAAATGTGTATTCAGTAGAACCAGTTTAGAGAATTTATATGCAAATTTTGTATCTAAATAGTGGAGAGAGTCATCTAATTCCTAATTCCAAAACTAATTCCTGTCCTTGCAAGCCCAGCTGTGCCTTGGCAAGTGTAGACAGTCCTCCTGATGCCCACCCTTTAGTCTCATATTTCCTTGTACGAATAGTCCAGGATCCAAGGCCTCGTAAAAGGATCTTCTTATCTGTAGTCAGTCAAGTCTGTTGGAGTGCTATGAAAACAAATTTAGAGAGGAACACCATCAGGTCCCCATCTATTCTTCTAGCCAGCAATATTACAAGTCAATAACTGGATAGAACCCTTGTGCTTATAAGTGGGATATAAGTGAGATATTGGAATTTGGGGTTGAAATACATAGATTTTTTTCAGTCATTTAATGGAAATGAAGTTATCCAAAATTCCTCTATGTCAAAAACAAACCAATGGTTTTGAAATATGTCTACTTTTACCATTCTCTTGCTGTGGTGTAACTTCTGGTAGATTTTGAAATGAGCAGTAATTTGGGTGTGGTATCTTTGCAGGTTGGCAGCTTAAAATAGTACCAAAGTCCAGAAGGGATAGCTTACCTCTAGATAAGGATGATTTTCTTGTCTCAGATTGTCTTCTTAGCACATTTTCAACTGCTTCATGAGCTATAACCCTAGCCTAGCTTGTGATTTTGCGCTCATATCTATTTTTGGAAGCATTGAGCTAAGGATGACCTCCTTATAATTCAATCCTGCTCCAAGACCATCTTTGATTAGAATCTCACCAAGATTTGGGATGCATTTTACTTTCTCTCGTCTGTCAACCTGTTTTATTTCTGTTACTTACATTTTCTGTTTTAGCAGGGAATAGAGAGATAAGATGGAAATTACTATCAAGGATTATTTATTTTTCTCTTCCATGTATATATTCCATGCTGAAATAGGGGATGACCCAGCAAATGGTTTCTCAAAATAGTCATTGTTTTCTTGGGCATTTGTGGATAATCAGCTCTATTAAAGGTTTAGCAGCTTTACATGTTGTTGCCAATAATTTCCACAGATCATCAAGCCTTTTTATAATACCCTTGTTCAGGTATCTGGCAGAGTTAATCAAGCTTATCTTTCAGAGAACTGACTTGCTGTGGGAGTTACAGATTGTTATTCAAGCTCTCTCTTTTCAAGGGCAATGGCATAGAAGATTCTTGGAGTTACCAGCTGTTGCTACAATTAAACTTTAAAGTAGAAGCACTCTTATTGCCAAGATGAGTTATTAGTAGGGCTAAATCTCTTTGCTTATTCCTCATTCTCTTTTAAGGTTCTAAATTAAGATTGCCTTTCCACCAATATTATCTGATTTTGAATCACATTTGTTTCTGCATGAGTTTGTTTTAACTGACACAGCAGCAGTGTTTAATTAGCTTAATAAAAGTCTCTTTTAGGGCATTTACTTTGTTGTTAACTATGGTCAGAAGCTAAAAAATTGACAAGAATGTTTGTGCTGTCAGTAAGCATTGTCAGTAATATTTTGTTCTTTTAAGTCCTCATCCCCTTATTGCATAAAGACAAAAGACTGTGATCTGAGAAGGGAAAGTTTCTTTAGCAATAGAGGCAGAAAAATATAAAAATTGGGAGTTTTAATCTCTGCTTGTAGATCACATTCCAAGAGGTCATATGTGCTTCAGACCCTATCAAGAAAAATAGGAATGGTTTGTTATTTATAGCACATGGCTGTTAACTTTTTAGATATCTGTCAACTTTGAAATGTTTAGTAGGCTTGGGTGAAATCAGAGAGGCAAAATGTGAACTCTCCCTCTTCTTCCTTTTCCCCATGGCAGAGATGATAAAAATATCAGTCTCCGGTAAAAACAGTAAAATAATAAAAATACAGGTATCTAGCAGAAAAATAAAAGCGATCAAAACAAAATAAAATAAAATGAGATGAAGTAAAAGCAAAGGGGTTATTTAAAAGGCATTAGATAGAGGTCTATTACACTATCTTCATTTTTTTTGGTAATATTTTCTGGAGTAATTATTCTTTCTGTCAGTTGCTCTAATGATCCTCTTTTTCCCACACCATACTTTGCAGCTTTTCTGGTGGTCACCAAAGTGAAAGTAAATCAATTACAAAGGTGCAAATAAAAGGCAAACTTCTTCTATATTCCCCCCTGCCCCTTGCTCTTATTCTATACTTACCATTAAGGTTTTTAGTCTAATCCTGACATGTCAAACTTGCAACATCATGTGACATCACGCAACATATTGAAACTTTTTCCCTATTGCCAGCAATGTGGTGGGCACGGTTTCCTTGTGATGTGACTGGCCCGCGGGCCGGCAGTTTGACACCCCTGGTCTATTCTGTCTTTGAATTAATTTGAGAATTTATCTTCCCTGGATCCAAAATTGTTCACAATGGCAGTTCTACCCTGTGAAGGTAAATGCAGGATAATCATAGGTGGTGCTGCAATAGTTAACATGAATAAGATGTGGAAAGGCAGAGATATTGATATAAATACAAAATTCAAGCTAGTTAGAGCTATAGTCTTCCCTATAATGATGTATGTGTGTGAAAGTTCAAGATTAAGAATGGCTGATCGAAGAAGAATTGATGTGTTTGAACTGTGGTGCTGGTGTATTGCGAATACCAGGGAAGCCAGAGAGGTGTTGAATCATATAAAATCAAACACATCAGAACAGAATAGAATAATAGAGTTGGAGGGACCTTGGAAGTTTTCTAGTCCAATCCCTTGCTCAAGCAGGAGACCCTATACCTTTCCAGACAAGTAGCTGTCCAGTCTCTTCTTAAAAGCCTGCAGTGATGGATTATCCACAACTTCTGAAAGCAAACAGTTCCACTAGTTAGTTATTCTCATCGTTAGGGAATTTCTCCTTAGTTCTAGGGGAACCTACTTCTCTCTTTGATTTATTTCCATCTGTTGTTTCTTGTCTTGCCTTCTGGTGCTTTGGAAAATAGGTTGACCCCCCTCTTCTTTCTGGCAGCCCCTTAGATATTGGAACCTTAGTCCTTCTTTTCACTAGACTAGACATTCCCAATTCCTGCAACCGTTCTTCATGTGTTATAACTTCCAGCCTCCTAATCTTCTTTGTTTGTATTTTAATTTTGTGTCACATTTTAATTACTGATTTCTTAAAGTAGATGTATAAGCACTCACAGATCATTTATCAACACATTTCTTGTACTGGTATACAACTGTAATGAAATGACTACCTGGCTAGCTTTTATTACCCCAAATAATAGTTCAAGGGAAAGGGAGTTTCAGGGCTAATTAGTGCTACAGATGTTTTGAAAAATGAAGTAGGTTGGAAAGGAAATGAATTTCAGGGCTTGGAAAATAAACCAACATATTTCTAATTCAGAAATCATGAGGGGAATTAAGATAATTCAAGTACTCAGCATACTTTGAGCATTATGTTTGCTTTTATAAAAAAAATTACTGTTCATATCACTGTTCTTTTCAAGCAATGTAGCCCTGTAGCCTGGCTTTCTACAAACATTCTTTGTAATATACTATTACATTCAGTAGCAGCAAAATTGTGGAAAATAATACTCATACATCATTCATTGGCTTAAGAACTTAAGTATTGGTGGGTTGCTGAGTCACAATCGGCCAGCAGACATATCCAGCATTTTCTCAGTTGAGATAACTGGAGAATTAGGAAATTACATGCTACTAAGCTGTGATTATTGTTTGAGGTACTGTTTAGAAGCAAGAATGAAAACCCTCTTATTATAGCAGCTACATTCATTTTAAGGTCTAAGAGGAAAATCCAAAGAAAAAATAAAGAATACTGTACTCATTCTAACAAAACAAAATGAAAGAAAGAGAACATAGGGATAAATATGTGCAGATTTGTAAGTCAAATCAATTCCTTGCCATCGCCAGTCATACTTTGTCATCAACACTATGATGCAACCAGCTTAAAGAGGAACCTTGATGAGTGAGTAGGTTGAGCCATACATTTTCCACTGAACACCTTTCTCTTCGTGGCATCATAATTCTCAGCACTTAGAACAGTGGTTCTCAACCTTTTTAATGCCGCAACCCCCAACTGGTCGTAAGTCGAGGACTACTCAACCGGTCGTAAGTCGAGGACTACTCAACTGGTGCAGCACCGTTTGCAGAATGGGACTTTTGGCGGGCTCAGCAGGGCAGAGACAGCCTGGACAATTCCTATTGGCTTTTGAAAGCCAATAGAATTAGACTCTATTCAAGAGAGTCTATTCTATTGGCTTTCAAAAGCCAATAGAATAAAAGGGAGTAGCACAGCTAAGGAAAAGGGGGAAAAAAATCGCGGACTGCGTTGTTTGGCGACCCCCATGAAATGGTCGTTCGACCCCAAACGGGGTCCCGACCCACAGGTTGAGAACCACTGACTTAGAAGATAAACCAAGGTGCTGAGCAACTATCAACTGTCATGCCCACTGCCAAGGTATGTTTGGCTTTTGATTGAAAAATTGAGGAAACAATGTGCTACCTTTAGATTTCATAGACTTCCTAGTATATCTACTGGTGACTTTAAATCCTTACAGTGGTATTCTTTATATCCCATTTCTAAGCACCCTGGTTGTTACACTGCAAAATCACATAGAAAAACAAAAAAGAAAAAAAAAGAAAAAAAAGATTCTACCCCTGTGATATCATTGCATTGTTTAAAGCTTTGTTGTGTGTGTGTGTGTTTGACAGAGAAAGTGCTTTGTCACTGTCTCTGCATCTTATGCAAACCTAATGATTATAGTATACTCAACAAATCATATTAAACCCTGGCTTAGTAGAATACATGAATCTGGCCTATGATCAAACAATATTTCTGAACAGGTAAGTTGTTTTATAGCATCACCAACTTCTTTGTGAAATGGATTTTTAGTTGCATTTAGTTTAAATAACTATTGTTGTGAATGTATTTATAATCATAACAATTATTGTTGAGCTACACCAAATCAAGATGTCAAGTATCCCTAAGTTTGAGAGTTTGTGGATAGAAATTGTAGAATGCTGGTTTACTCTCAAATCCCAGTAATTTCAATGAAGCAAGCTTACTTTTACTATAACTATGCATACAATAAAGCCCTAATGATGAACAAATAATAATTAGGAATAGAATTCACTTTACTTTTCCTTTATTAGAATTCACTTTCTAATAAACAAAAACTATAATTCAGACAACCTAAGGAGAAATATTGTTTATTTAAAAATATAACAGTATGGCAAAATTTGCACGCACACACACACACACATCCACACACACACACACACACACACACAGAGAGAGAGAGAGGGGGGGGATGAATTATCTCTCTTTCAACTGTTGAAAACAAATAAGCATCTATTCTCATGCCACATTAGGGCAATGTTTGTCAACTTAGTTCTTTAACACATGTGGACCTTAACTGTCAGAATTAGCTAGCCATGACTTAAAGTTGTTGAGATTGATACATAGTACATTAGTATCATTATTCTCAAAGCATCTGAAGCTAGGACAAGAAGCAATGGATGGATGCTCATTAAAGGAAGATCCAACCTAGAAATAAGGGGAAAAAATCCTGATTTTGAGAACAATTAATCATGAAGCAACTTGCCTTGCAGAGTTGTGGTGCTCCATCATTGGAGAGTTTCAAGAATAGACTGGACTATTTGACCTGGATGGTATAAGGACTCCTGCCTTGACCAGGGAATTGGACTAGAAGACTTCCAGCCCTATTATTCTACGATTCACTCCAACCAAACCATATTCCATATGCCCAGAAACTGACCAAGTGCTGTCTGGCCTAGACTCCTTACAGATAATTTTGACATTTGGAAGAAAAGAAAGAATCAAGCAGTTTGAAAGGAACTGCATTCTCCCCTTCCTCAAAATTTATTTATTAAAATTATATGCAGCCCATCTCTCCAATATAATATAAAATGCTTGTGTGTTTAGATTTCTTCTTACATCCTGAGTTTAAATTTGGACTTTATACATACACTTCACCTCTGCCCCACCCTGTTCCATCTCAGAAAATTGCAGACTTTGTGAAGGGAGGGCATGATTATATGGGTAGCTGGATGAACCTCAGTCTACAATCCTGCATATTTATACAGTTCTGACCCCAAGTGTGGGAGCTAGACAGACTTGCTTGCACATACATTCTGTACACAGGGATAGACTTGCCTGCTAAACAGAGTTCTTTTCCTGCTTACTTGCCACCTTGTTCCCATTGTGCTTGAGGTGCCTCCAATCAAGCCATCTTCAGCACAGTCTTCTTGGAGAGAGCACCAGGTTTCTCTGATCTTAAGATGGAAATCAGAAATATTCATATCTTTCTTTCTGTTCAAACCTTTTGGTTTGGCTGGTGGTTTTTGTTTCCAGACAAGAAATAGGGTTTGCTGTTTAATAAATTGACCAAGGTGGAAATCTACATCAGACATCCCATTTTTTTTAAGTTGTAGTCCACTTTCTAAACACATTTTTTAAAAAATCTCAGAATCATGATAGTTCTAAGCTCTTGGCAAAGGTAGGCTTCTTTTGGTTGCTCAGAGTATAGAAAATGTTTTTTGAGCAAACTGCTGGTTTTTGCTTCAGGTGGCTGGTGCTCTGGCTGGCTCTGTCAACTGTAGAAGGTAAGGCTCTCTGACTTTATTATATTTTTCAGGTTAATACAGAGCTTATATATGTGTTCATATGGAAGAATGCAGGATTGTAAATGTGAGATGTTAAAGTCTCACTTTAGGTCATTATCAATATACTGGTTGTAATTTGGGAAAGGGATAATTTGGTGCAATTCATATTAAAAAGCTCTTCTAGAATGTCTTTGTAGCTAACCTATTTTTTAAACAAGCTTACTCCCTAAGCAATTGTAATATTTTTTTCTACTAGTTCTTATAGTGAAAAATATTCCAACAGTTCATGTTGCAAACATTAAGCAATTTCAATGATGAATTAGTGCTGACTCCTTTTATAGAGTTTAGATCAGTTTCCTTGTGTTTATCTGATTTTATCCTTGCAATAAATGTATGAGATCAATTAGGCTTCAAAACATGTCTCTGGAACAAATTAACTTAGCAGCCAGTGGCATGTTTGAGCAAAGTTCACAGCCAACTCATCTCATCATCACAAACTGGCTCTAATATGCTTAATATTTTAATGATGCCAATAAACAAGTGGTAATATGTTTACCACTTATTTATTTTAAAGTGGTAAAAACAGTAGAGTTATTGAAAGAGGAGGCTGCCCTTCTTAGATGCACAATCTAATGGGTACAACTCAATAGGAAAAGCAGGGAATAGGCATTAGGAATCTGTCTAGCTTGGTCTTAATTTAGATGAGAGAGCTATAGGAAAGGAGGACTTGGAGCAACTTTCTCTGTTGTGGTTTTTAATCTGGCAAGCTCTCTCTCTGACCTGATTTTCTTTTGGGGAGTCTTTGCAAGCATCTGGTATCTTTGATTGATTGACAAAGAAGTTTTGGCAATCAAGTCCAAGGTCAATTGCAGTACTGGGAGAAGGGGGGAGTGTATTGAATATTACTTTGTTGATCCCAAAATTGTTTATTATTACAATATCTAAATTAATACAAACAAATTGTAGTATCCGCTGTATAAATGTTTTTATTGGGGAACATGCCAACCACATATATGTACATATACTCACAATAAATAAAATATCCCCAAGAGACCTTTTGGCCATGAAAGAGGGTGACACTTGGGGACCTTCTCAAAGCATAAGGTACAGGAGAACAACTTCAGAGACACCGTTTTTATCATTACAGTGTCAAAAAGAAAGACATCTCTTCCCCATTCCATAGTCAAAAGATTATTTCCATCTTCCAAACTGCTGTTCAGAAAATGAAAAATGTTCAGACACTGCAATCCTACCATTAATGTCCTGCCATGGTGGCTTTTCAGAATTGTATTTTGGGATTCTACAATTTCCTAGACCTAGAGCATAACTGGCACATAAGAAGAGAGGTATTTTTTTGCACTTGGCCTCATGGGTTCCCAGATCAGCTACAGGTGCCATTCAGGATCATAATGCTACTCTCTTACTTTAATCATAATTAGTATGTTCTCTTGGCACTGATTCTGTATTGCAATTTAGTCTGCAAACAGTTTCAAATCATATTATATTCCAGGCAAATGAACAATATTTACTATATCTGAAATGAATTTGTTTCAAGTAGATACAGTTATTTCATTTATTTATAAAAATTTATTGACTACCCATTTTATCACAAGGTGCACTTTATAATTTGTTTGATGTCTTTATTAACCAAGCATCACTTCCCTGAGATGACAAACAGCAAGTTATACCCTGTTATTTATTACAGTTCTGTGTCTGCATTTAATGGACATGCAGAAAGAGCTGTTTTAATGTCAAGGAGATAGTTCATATGAAAGAAGTAGATGCCAAAATAATTCATATCAGGTTTGGTAATTGGGATCATTTTGGTCTTTCTCAAAAAAATATTTTTCATGTTCCTGAGTTGGGCAAGTATGAATCTTCCTAGTGTACAAATGTTCTTTACCAACAGTTGCATTCAGAGATAAAATGTAGATGTGGTTTTATTAGGCACTGATTTGGGACCTAATGGCTTAAAAAATAGTCTTCAGACTTATTCTCGAATAGCAACTTCTTTCAACTATTATTTGAATTAGATCTGAATTTTCCGAATTAACCTGGAGCCCAATTTTACTCAATCACTGCCAAATACAACTTTTATTGAATGGACAAGTAGCTCCTACAGATGGCTCTGAGATGAAAGAGAAATATATGCATTCTTAATTTAAATGAATTAATTAATTCTTCATCTGATCCAAAGCTAGCAGCATAAAACAGTTCTCAGGAATCAAATGCCCAGACAATAATACAGGTAGTTCTCAAGTTATGACTGTGATGGAGCCTGCCCATCAGGGTCATAACTCATGATAGATAAAAGACAATGTCTCAATTGTAAAACAACTGCTGAGAATTTTATGACTTTTTTAGTAGCAATCATTAATAAAAAGTCATAGTTGTAAAGCAACCACATGGTGATTAAACAACTGCCACAATCATTAAACAAATCAATGGTTTACTAAACAGAGGTAAAACCATCATAAAGTGAGGTCATGTGATTGTCAGATGCTGTACATGGCTATTATAAATGCAGCCTGGTTGCTGAGCATCTAAAGTGTGGTCACATGGCCACAGGAGGGAGGGCGACCACTGGAACTTTGAATGTGGGTTATAAGTCCCCACCCCAAATAGCTCCATCGTAGCTCTGAACAGCCACTAAGCAACTAGTCATAAGTCAACTATCTGTATAATAAAACAGAATAACATAATAGAAACAATAGGAGATGAGATAACTGGAAGGAGTTCCAGATTTCCAGTTTAACCACCATCCCTTCATTATCTATTTCCATAATCTATATCAATGTTTCTCAACCTTGGCAACTTTAAGATGTACTGTATGGACCTGATGGCTGGGGAATTCTGGGAGTTGAAGTTGCCACATTTTATAGTTACCTCTGTAGGGAAACACTGCACTATATGCATTTGCACTAAAATTTGTTACATTAAATCAGGGGTTCTCAACCTTGGCAACTTTAAGACTTGTGGACTTCAACTCCCAGAATTCCTCAATCAGCAAAGCTGGCTGAGGAATTCTGGGAATTGAAGTCCACAAGTCTTAAAGTTGCCAAGGTTGAGAACCCCTGCATTAAATTGATGAGAAAGAATTTGTCTGGCTGACATGAAAAATGTATTAAGAGGACATAACAAGTGTATTTATTGCCTATAAGTGGATTTATTCCTATAAAATTCACATTAGTAAAATACTGGTTTTGATCACCCTTGAGTTACCCTATCAGATACACTTTTTATGGTAATTCTGTCTTCCAGCAGAGAAGATAGAAGGAGCTTAAAAGTGAGCCTGGGACAATATTCTGTAACACTGTAATTGTAAGATAGATTGTTCCAATATGATAAAATATTTAGCTGTTTGTAGACTTTAATTCAGATTCCAGAACCTCACCTTGTTAGGGACATTCTTATCTTTTCAGAGAACTGAGGCAACACCATGCATATGTTGTCTAAAATATATAGTGACATTTTGAGGTTGGAAAAATTATATATATTCTGAATTATTATTTCATTATTATTTGTTAAATTTATTTGCTGCCTATCTCGCCATAGAGCTACTCCACCTGGCTTACAAAAAAAAAGGAAAGGAGTGCAAACAGAACAGAAATAAAGTAATAGAATAAAATAAACAATGACATAAGAGCACAATGAGAATGCATCAGTATGATAAACAAAAAGATGGGTGCATGGAGTGCAGAGAATAAAGGGAAGGGGAGGGGGAGTTTGCCATTAATCCAGCAGCCACTTTCAGTGTGGAACTCCCCCATTTAGTCACCAGGCCAACCAGCAGAGCCAGGACTTCTGGCTCTTGTAGAAGGATGAATATAGTAGTTAGAATCAGGATAGGACAAATATGCACCTTTGCCTTAGTTTTAGTGAAAAACGGCTAAAAGCTATATTGAAAGTTTCCATATTTCAGCAATACAGGCTGGGATTGTTCTCAAGGTTTAAAATGGGGTGGGGGGGGGAACAACTATCTTTGAAGGTTTCCTGCTTGCAGTCAAAGCTATTCATCCAGTTCCTTCTGATACATCTCAGTTCTTATCTTCAGTGATCTATTGCTTGCTTTTATATGTGAGAAGCATGGAGCTTCTGTCTGATGGGAAATGCAAGGCAAGTTCAAAGCAATACATACTGAACATGGGAGGGGGGAGGGGAGGGGAGGGGAGAGAGCAGGTTGCATGAACTGTTAGACTGGTTCTGTCATTAATTTTTGTAGGAAAAGACTTAAACCTTTTCCAAAGAGAAGAAAAGAGAGATGTCAATGTGGAGCTGACAGAGACAGACACTGAACCTGTTGATGACTACACTGAGTTTCCAGCTGGATGCATCACAAGTAAGTGTGAAAGAAATAGCATAAATATTAGAAAGCCCAAATCATGAAGTTATGTTGTTGATTTTTTAAAAAAGTGTACACCTAGAACTAGCTGTGGTACACTGGCTAAGCTTGAAAAGCAGAGTTAACCCTGATTAATACCATCAGGATATTCATGGGTGGTAGATAGGATTAAGAAATCAAAAAGAATCCTAAAGTTCACAATGGAAATCACTGCATTACTAGTGCGGGGGGGGGGAATAATGTCCATGAAGAGGGTGGTGCACTTTTGATTTACAGAATTATTTGGGATTACTGGAAAGAGTACAATATTCTTGGAATTTTAAGGGGTTTTGCATGTACTTGGCTCAACTTGGTTCAACAAGTTATTGTACTAAATAATCGGTACAATTCACCTAAAATGTTTTAGGCATTATGTCAAATAATATGCCAAATGTTCCTAGGCAGTCCAATAGAAAATGTTCTAAATAAAATTAATTGTATTTATTACAGAAATGGCAAAGCGGTCCACTTCCTTTGGTTTATCACAGCTTAGAGGCACAGATAGCCAAGAAACCAACTGTCAGATTGTCCCAGTAACAACTACAATACCTCCAGTCACCAAGGCACAAACTACAACCAAAGATATGAAGAAGAAAACTCACACAATTGAAACAGAATCGTCAGAAGATAGACCTCGAGTTTTATATTTTCTGCCCTATTTTCCACGTCCATCACACACTGTCTTTAATATTATATTTCCTTTCAATAAAGGTGCCACTGGTTATAACACTATCTGGAATAACAAATTATTGAGAGATGACTCTTCTGAAGAAAAGAGAAGGAAAAGAGACACACTAATGGTTAAGAAAAAAGCAAGACCTCTATGAAGTGACAAGATGATTCTTTGCAATGCTCACTTTTCTTTTCTTTTTTTCCTTTTGGCAATCACAAAAAAGACATTAAACAATGATTTTATAACCAAGACTGAAACTAAGAGTGAATCAACAGCCAAGAGTGAATCAACTATTGGACATATCAATTTTTGAATCTTTAAATAAGCAAAACAAATTTTACTTATGAACAATTTAAAATAAGGAGAAAAGTTTTCTCATTGATGATGAATAGAATTCTACAATCCTTTGTCATCATACAAAGGGACCAGTTAATTTTCCTTACTACTAGTTCTACCAGGACGCAACAACCTTAACTGGATCAAAAGTCACTATTTTCAGACAACAATAATCAGAGACTGGAGACAAAAATATCTAGTGTTCAGTAAGAACAGATAACAGGAATATATTTTGCCTTAGCAGTCTCTTCTCTACCAGTTAGGCAGGAAGCAGTGGATATAAAACAGAAAAGGAGATTAATTTGGGGGAGAAAAACCATTCCAAATGCTGGTGTAGGATTTACATTTCCTACTCATTCTCCCATCCCTTTCTGTATCTTCCTTCCAAGCAAATACACTCCCCTCCCCAGACCCACACCTACACATTGCATTTGCTCCCTAAACCCTTCCTGCTACCACTCTTTTTTCAGCATTCCAGAAATGGCCCATAGAAAAACAGTTATACATCTTGCAAGGAATTCAAAGCTGTTAATGAGAAAGAATAGTAACTACATGGAAGACAACCATTGCCAAACTACAATTCCAATAGAGAACACAAGACAACTCAGGAGGGAAGACAGGAAATAAAGGAATACATCCAAGGGATTGGAGACATCCCTGGTAGCCATAACCTACAGTCAGGATTGCAGACAGCTAAAAAGAAATCTCTCCTCTACCAATTATATCAAACAATTGGTATTATGAGACCAGGGTACTTGGGAGTAATTCCTTGTGCTCTTCATCCATCAGAATGGCATCATGCATGGCACCCTTAAAAGGCAAACCAGGGATATTATCCAGTAGTACAACCTCCTACCTCAGGACATCTGCTCCAAAAACATGATGTTAGTAGAAAAGCTTTTTCATTCGTTTTTCTCATATGGTCTAAGCTGCAGCATGGATTTCTGGTTGGGGAATTCTGTGAGTTGAAGTCTACAAGTTTTAAAGTTGCCAAATTTTGAGAGTTGTGACAGACGATTACAATGTCTCAGGTCTTCTTCCATTTCTTATGTGCATGGATTTAGACTGTGAGAAGTAGGTACTCCACTCCATTCTTCATGGTGCTCTAGGTGAAAGCAAGATGCCAGATGGGGTGGGAAGAGTAAGTGGAATTTTTTATTATTGTGCTATGAGATTTGATAGCAAGAAGACTATTTCCTGGCTGTTTCCTTTTAGTTATAACTATTATGGGCAGAGTGATCTTGCCACATAAGAAGGGTTTTATTTTCACTTGGGAATAGTTGGGATCTTGAGTCCCATGATTGTATCCATATTCAAATATTCTTCAGTTAACTTTGGAAGTGTGTGAGTCACTTAAGTTAGGGATGCTACTTTTATTTTTTCTCCTTTATCTGCTTTCATTACTGCATGTGCTTTCAGATATGACTTCTAAGTATCCTGATGGAAAAGATAGGTTGGTTCTTATGCAAGCAAGCAGGACCTATTCAGTGCCTTTTGTGTTCTACTACTGCCTTACAAAATGCTAACCATGGCTTTTTCTATTTTTTCTATCTCTTTGGGTCAATTCATTTTCAAATGGGGCAATGCATAACCGCGCAGGAGTAAGGGGGAGTTAGTCCATCTGGATCAACAGATGTTTTACAACCAGAACGCTCAGAACGGAGTTCCGGCACCTTTTTTGGGTGGAACCTTGTAGGGTAGGCAAGGCAGGTTGTATGATATGTGTGAGTTCCGGCACCTTTTTTTTTTTTTTTTTTAGAAAAAGAGCACTGTTTACAACATATTTATATCTGTCTTCCCCAATCTATTTATGTGTGTCATGAGAATAGGTCTAAAGAGTATTATACCCTGATGTTTTCTTTTTAAGCTTTTAGAGGAAAAACCGAAACCTACTATATTTTCTTTTACACAACAGAATTTAGTAAAACACTAAGACAAGTATTGGAATTCTTTGCCACCTCTAGTAGTCATCAGATTTTTGCAGTTCTGATCTGATAGACTTAGATTACCTTCCAGAAGTGATATAAGGCCTGAGTAACCTGAAAATGTAATGGTTGGTCCTCGCTGATTGTTTTTTTCTGGCTTTCTCTACTTAGGTGGCTTTTGGCAAAGAATGAAATGAGAAAGAAGGCTATAGGTCTCCTCTCCCTTCCTTAGCAAATGTCACAACCATATTCTGTGGTTAGGGATCAAGGAATTAGGGACCAATAACCTTACAGACTGCTCATTAAACTACAATTTCCAGGATTCTTGTGGGGAAAGATTTCACACAACATATAATGTTCTAATTTTTCAGTGATTTGTTGATTTTGGGTAAATTTTGGAATGTTATACAAGAACCAAATCAATTAAGCTTTCTTCAATAAGAAGAAAGAAAATCTAGGAAAAGGAATCACTGTTAACTAACAACTGTAGATTTGGAGTATGTGTCCCCTACAGCAATTTGGGCATACAAGGAAGAGTACAAAGAAAAGGGGGGGGGAATATGAAAGAGGGGCACATAACTAAGGCAGAATACCAACAAATAGTCCGAGCCTGCAAAGATGAAGTGGGGAAAGCTAAGGCTCAAAATGAACTAAGGCTTGCGACAAAAGTCAAAAATAACAAAAAAAAGCTTCTTTCAACATGTAAAAAACAAGGAATAAGGAAATTATTAGACCATTACTGGGAAAAAGTAGCAAGAAGGTGACAAGAAACAGGGAGAAAGCAGAACTATTTAACTCGTTTTTTGCATCTGTCTTTACACAAAGGGAAAAAACAGTCCAACCTATCAAAACCAGTACGTTAAAAAACAGATTAGAAACACAAGTTAAGATAGGCAAGAAAATGGTAAGTGAGCACCTGTCCATCCTAGATGAGTTTAAATCACCAGGACCAGATGGACTACACCTCAAGGTTCTGAAGGAATTGGCAGATGTGATCTCAGAAAACCTAAAGTATATCTTTTATAGATCTTGGAGCACTGGGGAACTACCAGAGGACTGGGAAAAAGTTGATATAGTTCCTATTTTCAAAAAAGGAAAAAAATGGATCCAGGAAACTACAAACCTATCAGCCTGACCTCAATATCTGGGAAGATTCTGGAAAAGATAATCAAGCAATGAATCAGCGAACACCTGCAGACAAACAAAGTCATTACCAAAAGCCAACATGGGTTTGTCAAAAACAAATCATGCCAGACAACTCCTATTGCATTCTTTGACCAGGTGACAAAATTAGTGGATATAATTTACTTGGACTTCAGTAAGGCATTTGATAAAGTAGACCACAACCTACTACTTGATAAGATAGAAAAATATGGGTTAGACAGCATCACCACCAGATGGATTCGTAGCTGGCTGACCAGCCGTCCTCAGGGTGTGATCCTCAATGGAACTGCATTTACATGGAGGGAAGTGCTAGTGGGATGCCCGAGAGCTCTGTTCTGGGCCCAGTGCTCTTCAACATCTTCATCAATGATTCGGATGAGGGGATAAATGGGGAACTCATCAAATTTGCAGATGACACCAAGCTGGCAAGAATAGCCAACACTCCAGAAGATAGGCTTAAGATACAGAGGGATCTTGACAGACTTGAACATAGGGCGCTATCTAACAAAATGAAATTAAATGGTGAAAATAGTAAGGTTCTACTTTTAGGCAAGAAAAACCAAATACACAAGTATAGTATAGGTGGTTTCTTGCTCAATAGTAGTAACTGTGAGAGGGATCCCAGAGTCCTAGTGGACCATCACTTAAATATGAGCCAGCAGTGTGCTGCAACTGCCAAAAAAGCTAACACAGTGCTGAGCTGCATTAACAGAGGGATAGAATCAAGATCATGTGAAGTATTAATACCACTTTACAATGCCTTGGTAAAGCCACACTTGGAATACTGCATTCAGTTTTGGTCACCACAATGTAAAAAAGATGTTGAGACTCTAGAAAGAGTACAGAGAAGAGCAACAAAGATGATTAGGGGACTGGAGGCTAAAACATATAAGTAACGGTTGCTGGAACTGTGTATGCAGTGGTGGGATTCAGCCAGTTCGCACCACTTCGGCAGAACCGGTAGCTAATTTTTTGTTTCCCAGGCCAAGAATGGACTTCTGGAAGCAGCATCCACATAGAGAACCTGTTGTTCACATATTTGAATCCCACCACTGTGGGTATATCTAGATTAATGAAGAGAAAGATGAGGGGTGACATGATAGCATGTTCCAATATGTCAGGGGCTGCCAATAAGAAGAGGGAGTCAAGCTATTCTCCAAAGCACCTGAAGGCAGGACAAGGATGGAAACAAATCAAAGAGAGAAGCAACCTAGAACTAAGGAGAAATTTCCTGACAGTTAGAACAATCAGTGGAACAGCCTGCCTCCGGAAGTTGTGAATGCTCCAACACTGGAAGTTTTTAAGAAGAGATTGGACAGCCATTTGTCTGAAATGGCACAGGGTTTCCTGCCTGAGCAGGGGATTGGACTAGATCAGCGATTCTCAACCTATGGGTCGTGACCCCATTTGGGGTCGATCGACCATTTCACGGGGGTCGCCAAGCAAGGCTGTCCGCCATTTTTTCCCCTTTTCCGGCAGGTGCCTTACCTCCCTTGGGCTGGGCCAGCTGGTGGCCCAGCCAGTGGTCGGTCTGCTCCGTCTCTGCTGCTTGCCAGCTACACTTCGGCCGGCGCAGGGGGCAGCACCACGCATGCGTGGCGCTCCCAGGCAGGGAAAGTCCTCGACTTACGACCGGTTGGGTAGTCCTCAACTTACGACCAGTTTAGTCCTCGACTTACGACCAGTTTAGTCCTCGACTTACGACCGGTTGGAGGTCACGGCATTAAAAAGGTTGAGAACCACTGGACTAGATGATCACCAAGGTCCCTTCCAACTTTATTGTTATTATTATTACAATAATCAAAACTCTGCATAGATTACACTGGCATGAATCATTTTCATGAGTTCTAATTAGCTCCAAACCTCTTCAAAAACAGATGTATTGATAATGTAAATGATACAGTTAATAATATACCTTTTTTCACCACGTCCTTTACCTAAGCATTATATTTGGGGATTCAACAGTATTCAGACCATAATTGCTGAACAAGTTTTTGTAAGTAAGATTAACATTTGATCAAATCAATCGCTTGTCTTTCCTTCCACAATATGCATTCAATTATTATTGGAATGTGTACGTGTAATGTTATTACACTATAGGATTTGGGAATTTTTTTCCAATGCAATCCAAAGAAAACATGAATAACATCCCTGAAAATGGATATGACATTAATTTTGTATCAACACATTAAGGCACCAAGATCACCGAGCTAGCAGATTAAGATGCTGTGGTGCACTACTGCAATAGTTATCCTAAGCAGCTATTATTGAGAATGTCCTCAATAACAGAGGTCCCCAACCTTTCCTGTTTGGCAGCAAAATGCACTACTGATAGTTCAAGCTATACATGGACTATGTTCCTGATATTTGCATAAATTCTACCAGCAACCTTTGTGTTTGAAGCCCCATCCTCTTTACATCTGTTGGCACAGGGCTTTCATTTTGTGGTTACAACCATCATCTTGATTTATTTTTGACACCCAAACAAATCCCACTGTGGAAGTTCCTTGTGGCAATTTATGAATCAGACCTCTGGGAGGAATTAGGGGGGAAATATCAATGATGTAAGGGGCCCATAAATGAAAAACACTAAACATTTGTGAAATCTGATCATGTATGTTTGGGCAAAATAGTGTTACGTAGCAGAATAATAGAGTTGGAAGGGATCTTGGAGGTCTTCTAGTCTAACCCTCTATTCAAGGTGAAGTCCCTATACTATTTCAGACAAATGGCTGTCCAGTCTCTTCTTAAAAGCCTCCAGTGATGGAGCATGTACAACCTCTGAAGGCAAACCGTTCCACTGGTTAATTGTCCTCACTGTTACGAAATTTCTCCTTAGTTCTAGGTTACTTCTCTCCTTGATTGATTTCCAGCCATTGTTTCTTGTCTTGCCATCTGGTGCTTTGGAAAATAGGTTGACCCCCCTCTTATTTGTAGCAGCCCGTCAAATATTCGAACACTACTATCATGTTACCCCTAGTCCTTCTTTTCACTAGAATAGACATATCCAATTCCTTCAACTGTTCTTCATGTGTTTTAGCTTCCAGCCCCCTAATCTTCTTTGTATTTAATTTTATTCACTGATTTCTTAAAGTAGATTCTTGCAACCATTCTTCATGTTTTAGCCTCCAGTTCCTTTTTTGCACTTTCCAAAGACTCAATCTCTTTTCTATAATATGGTGACCAAAAGTGGATGCAGTATTCCAAGTGTGATCTTAATAAGCCTTCATAAAGTGGTGGTAATACTTCATATGATCTTGATTCTATCTGTTAATGCAGCCTAGCACTGTGTTGGTTTTTTTGGCTGCTGCTGCACACTGCTGGTTCATATTTAAGTGATTATCCACTAGGACTCCAAAATCCCACACACAGTTAGTGCTATTAAGTCAGGTTTCACCTAATCTGTACCTTAATATTGATTTTTCTTGTCTAAGTGTAAAATATTATTTTTCTTTACATTGGATTTCATTTTGCTAGATAGGGCCAAGTGTTGACTTCCATCTGGATTTTAAGCTTATCTTTTGCAATGTTGGCTATTCCTGCTAGTTGGCTATTCCTGTTTGATGAGTTCCCTCTTCTATTCCCTCATCTAAATTGTTTATGAAGATGTTGAAGAGCATTGAGCGTAAAACCGAACCTTGAGGTACACTATTGCTTCCTTCCTTCCATGTAGATGTAATTCCATTAAGAATTACATGTTTAGTATGATTTTTCAGCCAATAATACATTCACCTGGTGGTGAGGCTGTCTATTCTATCTATTTTGGCAAGTGCCTTACTGAAATCCAAGTATACTATGTCTACTGCATTTCACTGGTCCACTAATTCAAACACTTTTCAAAGAATGAAATAGGATTTGTCTGACATGTTCTGTTTTTGATAAACCCATGTTGGCTTCTAGTTATAACTTTGCTTGCTTCTAGGTGTTTGCAGATCTGTTGCTTAATTATCTTTTCTAATATCTTCTCAGGTATTTACTGTATGTCATCCTGACTGGTTTTTAGTTTCCTGGATTTGTTTTTGGATCGGTTTTTTTTCTTTTTGAAGATGGGAACTACATCAGCTTTTTTGGAGTCCTCTGGTAGTTCCCCAGTACTCCAGGATCTTTGAAAGATATGGTTCAATGGTTCCAAGATCAGATCTGCCAGCTCCTTCAGAACTCTGGGATGAAATCCATCAAGTTCCGGTGATTTGAACTAGAGTGGACAGTGTTCTATTACCATTTTCTTGATTATTTTTATTTGTATTCCTAGTATGTGTTTTATGTTTATATTTTTTGTACTTATCCTTTTTTCCCCAGTTTATCAGAGATTATTTTGTGTAACCATGCTGTTTTCTTGTTGGATTCATTGTTTTTTTTCTCAGTGATATTGAGCTGGACTGGGCTTTTATAATCATAATCTTCAGAGTTTCCCAAGTTCCTAAATTGATTTCCTCTTTAAGATTTTCATGATTGGAATCCTTCCCACGCTCTCTCTAAGTTTGTTAAAACCAGCTCTTTCAAAGTCTAAGAGAGGGGTCCCGAATCCCTGAGCCATGGCCCATTACTGGGCCATGGCCTGTCCAGAACCAGGTTGCACAAGGGGTGGGCAAGCTCATGCACAAAGCTTCACTTACATGAGCAGCAGGCACTTTCCCTCACGTGTGAAGCTTCATTTGTGTAGGCGGCAGC